TAATGTTATTTTACTTCAATGGATCTCTCACTAGCATGTTTAGGAGGTTCATTCTCTTTCAAGGCTAAATCTATATTAGTAAGTTCCAGGGTAAACTCAATATTTTGCTTCCAACTTTTATAATAAGAACCAGTCAGGACCTAAATGTTGGCATTATGGTTATTCACAACAAAATAGACTGTTCGAGGCAATGAGAATATAAATATTTAGCAAAAGTGGCAATAAATAAATAAAATATGTTTTAAACATAATAAGTCATATTTTATTAAAAGAGTTTAAATATATCACTACAAACTCTCTTTTAGGTAGAGAATGCAATATGTTATAGGTTTTCTCTTTCATAAAACTAACTAATGAGAATACTCAAGTTTCATAAAAGCTATCCCATTTAGGCAGATAAACCTTCTAGGCTATTGCACTTCTAACACAATATTTCGTAATATCTCTAAATTATAATACACAATAATCTCATTTGGGCAAATAATTATATATTATAATTTAGAGACCATCTCATAACAAAAGTATGAGAAAAATCTATAAATTTTAATGAATGAACCACTTTGGTGGCGATCATCCATCTTAACTTATAGAATTTTCTAAACTGTGATATTTTTATAACATCTTTAAATTACAAATAATCCCCTTTGGGCAGGTAACCAAGATATTATAACAAATGTTCATAATTAAATATCATGTGGTCAATCAATATAGGATACTAATAGATATGTACCTATATAGATTACCCTACATCAATCATTGCATTCAATTCTCAATTGTATTTTTATTATTAAAATTATATAATTCAAATTCACATCTACCAATACTAATAAATAATACGTGGATCATAAAAAAAATATTTCATTGTGTAAATCACTAGAGACTAGAATTGGAGTTATGCAAACACCATTTACAAATTATAGCAATTCAATTAAAATTGCATCAACATAAAAAATAATAATTAATTGATATCAGTAATTTATATGAGTAAAACATATGTCTATTCATCAACAAGACTCATAAATTATTATTAAAAAAATTATAAAATCGATTGAATACGACGTAATCAAATAAAATAGCAACTCCGTTATTTGCGGAGCAAAATAAAGAATAAAAGCAAGTTAATGACTTTTCAACTCTAAAAGTAAAGCATGTGCATGTGTACTGCCATTCACGTCCAAAGAACATGACATATAANTATGAGTAAAACATATGTCTATTCATCAACAAGACTCATAAATTATTATTAAAAAATTTATAAAATCGATTGAATACGACGTAATCAAATAAAATAGCAACTCCGTCATTTGCGGAGAAAAAATAAAGAATAAAAAAAAATTAATGACTTTTCAACTTTAAAAGTAAAGCATGTGCATGTGTACTGCCATTCACGTCCAAAGAACATGACATATGATAAAAGTTCCCATGTTCAGCTGCCAAGTTTGTGGACGCCTGTGTTTCAACAATGGCCATTGACAGCGACTATGAGATTAAATAAAAATCAGTGCCGTGCACCACCAAAAAGTTACGAATTTTGAATGCTATCACAATTCTCAAGTTAAAAATTTTTATATTTAAAATATTAAAATTAACAATGATAAGTAATATTTATGATNGCCAAGTTTGTGGACGCCTGTGTTTCAACAATGGCCATTGACAGCGACTATGAGATTAAATAAAAATCAGTGCCGTGCATCACCAAAAAGTTACGAATTTTTAATGCTAAACAATGATAAGTAATATTTATGGTNTAAAAATCAGTGCCGTGCACCACCAAAAAGTTACGAATTTTGAATGCTATCACAATTCTCAAGTTAAAAATTTTTATATTTAAAATATTAAAATTAACAATGATAAGTAATATTTATGATAGGAGTAATTAGGTAATAAATTTTTTTTTTGAAACATGTATTTAATGACAATAATTTGATTAAAAAAAGAACTTAATAAAGTATAAGTCTGGTTGTGTTATTTAAAGATAAATAAGTTCTAAAAAAAATATCCACAACTAAATATCCGAATTAACAATTAATTAAGAGAAATCCAATACAAAAAAAATCGAACACTAGAATCCATACTAGCAAACTAGTAAAGATCGGTGGGGCTGGTTCTGGACGTTTGGAGAAGGTGAATGCAGGGTTTGGATAATTACAGAAAGATCTACTTAATTTTAAATATGTTATATATATGTTTAAGTCATAGAGGATGTAGGAAAAAAATATAGGGTATATTTGAAATTTCTAGTTTAAGAAATTTTGGGGACGAAATTCTTTTATGGAGGATAGGTGGTGAAATCCCGAATTTTTACCAGTAACTAATTTAAGCATGAAAAAATTAAGATGTAGAGTTATGTGGAGGAAACATAGTTGATACTAAACTTTTGTGGCAGATTTCTAATCATAGAAACAAAGAGGAGCAAACATGTAATTAATATTACATGTTGGTCGGCAATCATTCACGTGAATGATTAAAGCTTGTAAAAGAATAAAGAACGTATAAAAGAAAGATAAAAGAAAGTTGTGGAGGTTGAATGAGTGCATGAGACGTTATTACGATAACAGTTAAATGACCTCCATTCAAGATTAGATAATCTAATTATAGATAATCTAATTATCAACAATAATTGCTATACAAAATTACTCAAATTTTCTATATACATGACATTTTGTCGTTTATTAGTTATGAAGCACATAATTTGCGTTGAATTTCAATTATCGGTAAATCTGACGATAGATCATTTATGTTATGATTTAAATGAGCATGCTACTAAAAATATTTGAGAAAATCTCGAATGTAGATATAAGAATAAATTAACGCAACTCAAAAAATATCATTCCAGATAGTTTTACCACAATTTTTTTTATAAATAGATAAAGCTTTGTTTCTATGCAATATATATTTTAAGTAATGTGGATGTTAACAAATTATGCGGAAGTTATATGTCATTTGGAGAAACTTAATAANAAATAGATAAAGCTTTGTTTCTATGCAATATATATTTTAAGTAATGTGGATGTTAACAAATTATGCGGAAGTTATATGTCATTTGGAGAAACTTAATAAATGTGGGGTTGATTGATATGTGCAAACTTTATGTTAGAAAGTAAAATTAATTTTCTTGTTGTTTTGAATAATAATGAATTTTACTAGTCATAGATAAGCATTTTCTTGGAATTTGAGTTTGAAAACTCTGGAAATGTGAGGGTAAATACACTATCAATTTGTTCCGATTTACGACTCGACGAAATTCAGGACGGTGGTTCCTAGTAGGTGAAAAACTAATTATAAAATGGTCCCCAGTAGTTTGAGAACTACTAGTGATATTTGAAGATGAAAGACTACTGATCATATTTATAAATGGTTGCTAGTACTTTGAGAATTACTGTCCACATTTGAAAATGTTTGTTTCCTAGTAAGTGAGAGGCTACTAGCCACAATTTAAAACTAGTTCCTAGAAAGAGACTATTGGTCACTAAAATTTTGTGACTCCTAATAGCAAGGCTACTAACTACTTAGTAGAGGTATCTATAATCCGATAGAAAGACCTCAATATTTGTCTCGTTGGAAAAATTGGCCCATATTTGCTTGAGAACATTTTGTGGGAAAACGATTGTCTCAATTATTTAATTTTGATCTGATGATCCTTTTTGCCCTTATTAAAATGGTGAATTTATTATTGGGCCCAATTGGCACGATTAATTGAGATTGGATCATAATAATTATATATTGTTGGTTTAAGTGAGATGGTTTAATAGTCCTAATATCTTGGTCCTCAATGTTGCCTCCAAAATATATTTGGACCAATGTGTTGCCTTAGTTAAAAAAAAATACTGGACCATATAGCCCCGACTATTCGTTGCCTCAATTCAAATAAAAAAGAACCGTTTTAAATAATGGGTTCATAAACTATATAGTTTCGTGATGCTTAGGAAATTAAGCATGTGTTATAAAATAAATATTTCTCTCTCTCTCTCTCTCTCCAGACCTGTAAATTTATTTTTGACCCATCAAACAACTTTGTTTTCTCAAATCTGAGGTCATTTTTGAACTTTTTGACCCTCAATTAGTTACACTCAACCTCCCTTTTTTGTAGTTTTAACAAGTTTTTCAAAGTTTTAATTTTTAATTTTCAAGTTTTCAAACCCTGGCGAGTTTCTTCACCACACACACACCGTAGTCATGACTTTCAAGCACTCCAAGTATTACAATCCCATAACAACTCAAGCCTCAATTGAGGAAGAAATGGTCATTTGTTATGTAACATATTTAAAAATTCAATTATCATTTTAAGTTTCAAACACAAATTCGAGCACACACGCAACATGAAACTTAAATCTAATCATACTAATGAAATCCTCATGAAAAAATAAGTCTAACCAAGTCATTTACTAGTTGTAGTTTTTGTTTTTTAAAGATTAAGATTTTACAATGATGGCATCACAAAAAAAATTTGATTGTAATTAGTGGGTAGTTTAGACTTTTTGTATAAACTGTTACCTCTGGTAATTTTGCAATTTGATCACAAGTTAGAAGGGCTAAGTGAAACCGTAAAAATAGAGGGAGTGAAGTGAGGTCGAGGCTTAGTACAAAAATTTTTTTTTTGTATTTTACTTCTTATATTTTCCTAAAATTGCAGACGTCTTTTACATGTCGAAGGAAAATCCTTTCACACTGTCCCACAATGTAAATTTCTTTCAAGTTATCACAAAATTCAATGGCACGTGTATTATTTTCTTTCAAATCATAATAGCAATTTAATATTTGAATTATGTGTAAATAATTCACATAGTTGAGGGTACATGTGGAAACTTAATCATAAAAGGGTCAGTGTGAGATGGTGCCGTACTCTATGGGGAAAGAATAATACATCGAAAGAAATTATAAAGGGAAAAGGACTTTGATGTGGATTGATCACCAAAGATCCTGCAAGAAAACATGGCTTTAGTTAGGTGGAACATCAAAACGTTGATAATACTTTCTTTTTTTTCTTTTGGTTTGATTCCGTTGTATTCCAATATAAAACTTGAACCCCTGTGTAGCTTCACCAAATGCACAAATCTCCTCAAGTTTGATACTAGCTTGGATCATTTCTCTTTATGGAACTCTCATCGTCTTCCGAAAGACAATATAATGCCACCAAACCCAGTGAGGACGAGAGAGATAAGAGTGACAAAACCTACCACAAATATATAGAGAGAATCTCAACCCTTCCTGTCTGGGGAGAAGATCCTAGGGACAAGCTCTACAAGTACCAAAATTTTTGGTTCAGTCATTACTATCTTGAAAGGATCATGTTTGCGCAAGAACATTTCAGAGCTCAATCGTCCGATATAATTTTAAGCAGCGCCCCCAAGACGGGCACTACCTGGCTAAAGGCTTTGGCTTTTTCGATTGTAACCAGAAATTGTTTCGATGATTCGATGAATCCTTTATTGACTAGTAACCCCCATGATTGTGTACCCTTCGTAGAGGTAGATCTTGCCCAAAACCCACCTAATCGGCACTTAGACCATCCTCTCATATCTACACACATTCCTTATATTTCTTTACCAGAATCTATAATAGCTTCTGGTTGTAAGATCATATATATATGTAGAGACCCAAAGGATGTATTTGTTTCTATGTGGCAGTTCGCATGCAAGGTAACACAACCAATTCCCTTGGAGATGGCATTTGAGATGTTCTGTGGAGGCATGTATCTTTATGGACCATATTTGGACCATGTATTGGGGTACTGGAAAGCGAGCTTGGAAAGGCCAGACATGATCTTGTTCTTAAAATACGAAGATTTGAAGAGAGACACTATGTCCAATTTAAAGACATTGGCCAAATTCATGGGCCAACCGTTCTCTGAGGAGGAAGAGAGAAATGGTGTGTCCGAGAAAATTATTCAGCTTTGTAGTTTCGAGCATTTAAGCAATTTGGAGGTGAATAAAAGCGGAAAGCATCGGCCAGAGGCCCCTATTACCGTTCCTAACAATGCATTCTTCAGGAACGGTAAGGTGGGAGATTCAGAGAATCATTTAACACTTGAAATGAAAAAGTGCCTGGATGGAATCATGGAAGAGAAGCTAAGAGATTCTGGCCTAAATTTTTAGATCCCATCCCCATGAACAAGTCGGAAGCATTCTTTAGCACAAGAAATTGTTGTTTGAGCATTCTTTAGCTTGTATTTGTGTGATCAAACGAAAAAAAGAAAAAGAAAAAGAAAAGAGCTATATAGCTTGTATTTCTGAAAGTTTTATGTGATTCAATTTCGGCTTAATTGAACTAGAACTCCCAAAAGCACGAAGTTTGTCTCATTTTGGTTTTCAATGTTTCAATTGCATCATTTTGATATCTAAAATATTGAATATGTTTCTATATCGTCCCTCAAGCAGACAGTGTCTAGATTGCTAACAATTTTTTGTTATAAACTTATCACATAATATTTAAATATTTACAAAAAAAAATTTGTATAACTTTTGACCAAATTTTTACTCAAATTTTGATTAAACACCTATCTAAATTACACAGTTTTGATCATGAGTTATCCAAATTTAGGTAAAAAAAATATCTATATTACACATTTTTTTGTGAAGAACTACCCAAATTTTGTTTAAAAGTTATCAAAATTATTTTTGTGTCTATATTTAACTATTTCGTGACAAGTTTATGGTAAAAAATCTCTAACAATTTGGACATTGTCTACTTGAAGAATCATATAAAAACATTCAAAACTTCAGAAACTAAAATAATGCAATCAAAACATTAAGGAGGAGACAAATTTTATGTTTTGAAGACCTCTGGTTCAATTAATTGTTCAGTTTCAATTCATTGAATTTGCAGGATCTATTGGAAGACTGCAATTATGCAGAAAATAAAAACCCCGGTTGTTCACATAGTGAGGTTGGTGAACCAGTGAGCAGACAAACAGACCGGCCAGTAAAAGAAAAAGGTAATGGAAATCACTGAATTACAAGTGAGAATTAAATTCAGGTCTTCGACCTGACAGGAACTATGTCTTGTTTTGTTTCTAGCATTAAATCCTCGCCTTGGGCAAAGCTCGAACTTTGAAACTCTCAGTGAGTTTTGAGGGTCCTCGCCAACTTAGCTAACTCATGGGTCCAAACAAAAGTAACAATTAGTGATCACACCTGACAAGCCTTGTAAAAATATCAATGTAGTTCCCGATAATACAAACAACATACTAAAATTTCATCCAAATCAGACATTGATTAGTTATTCAAATTTTGGCTCAAAAAATCGACCTACGTGAACAATCCCTCTGTTTGTGCATCAAGTAGTCCAAGTGAAGATAAAGTCTTCCATCAGCCAAATTTTTATTTTAGGGCTTAACTATCAATAAGACTATATTAAATAAAGGGATAATTGGCAAGGGATACACCCATAACTACTTTGTTTATTCATATTTATATTTAATCCATATTTATATTTATATCTATATTACTTATAAATATCAACGTCTGCGAAAATTTTTTTATTTCTTATTTTATCGGGTTAATTACAATTTGACCTCTTCAACTATATCCTATGTAGTAATCAACTCCCAATAATTTTATTTAAAGCAATTTGCCCCTTCTTATATTAAAATTCAAATTAGTAACGAAACACAATAAAAATTAACGGAAACATTGGAATCTTTTGTTTGTGTTAGAGGAAAAAATATTTTTAAGACAATTTTACCCTTGTCTTCCAAGGGTTGGAAATTTTGCTATCTAAGAGGAATGAAGCTTTTTTTCTCTTTCCCTCATCTAAGATCACAACTCTTTTTCTCTTTCCCTCATCTTTGCAACATCTCATACACAGTGCCTTTTATTTCTAACCATCTCACCCATACCCTTAAAAAACAATGGCTTCGAGTGAAGCATCAACTCATGGAGAAAATGATAAATTGTATTATTGCGGATTGAAATGCAAACTCAAGATTACATCGCACCATTGTCATTCACAATATCATCAATTGGACCCGTCCCATATTTCTTTCCAAAATCGTGCGTTTGGCTACCTTTGGTTTTACTTGCAACAAACATTGCTATCATCCCAACAATCCATATGATTCCCACAAAGATTTTACTTTTCAATAAACTAATACAACAAAAAGTGACCAAAAAAATCTAGAGAGAATTACACTCACACCCCTTAAGGTTTGCACTTAATCATTTAGATCCCTTGACATTTGAAGTATTACACTCAGATCCCCTAAAATTTGTACGCACGTAACACTTAGACCCTTGTTGTAAATATATCCATTAATAAATTATATTCAAACTCCCTGAAGTTTATAAACATATATTACTTAGACTCATTAAGTTTAAAATGTTATATTTAGACACAAAAATACTTCAATTAGAGATAGAACATTAAATTTTTAAAATTTTACAATTAAAATTCATGTTCTATTGTATCATTTATTGAAATAAAATAAAAATNTGCTTGGGTTCACGTCTTTGCACGATGGGTCCACACATGAATCATTGATTTTTGGAAGAATTATACCTAGATCCTCTGAAATTTGTTAATTAATCACTCAAATCTCATGACATTTAAAATATTACACACAAACCTCCTAAAGTTTGTACACTTGTAACAATTAGACCTCTGCTATAAATATATCCGATAATAAATTACACCTACACCCCCTTGAAGTTTGTACGTATATAATATTTAGACTTCTTAAATTTAAAATGTTATACTTAGACAAAAAATACTCCAATCAAAGATAGAATATCAAATATTTTAAATTTTACAACTAAAATTCATGTTCTATTGTATCATTTATTGAAATAAAATAAAAATAAAAATTCAAATTTTTCTTAAAAAATCCTAATTAGTATACAATTATATTTTCTATTAGAATTTAATTTGGTCGTTTAAACGACCAAATTAAAATACCAAACTATCCCAATTAAAGCTAAAAGATATTGTGTTCATTACAATTTGACCCCTTATTTAATTTTTTAGTTTTATTATAATAGATATTATAATTGTATACTAACTATGTTTTTTTTAAAAAAAAATTAGATTTTTATTTTTGATTTTATTTATTTATAGAACATGAATTTTGGTTGTAAAATTCATGTTCTATTAGGAATGACTTAGACCCCTTATTTGATTTTTTAGTTTTATTCCAATAGATAGTATAATTGTAAACTAATTACAATTTTTTAAGAAAAAAGTTGAATTTTTATTTTTAATTTTATTTCAATAAATGATACAATAGAACATGAATTTTAGTTGTAAAATTTAAAATATTTGATATTCTATCTTTGATTGGAGTATTTTTTGTCTAAGTATAACATTTTAAATTTAAGAAGTCTAAATATTATATACGTACAAACTTCAAGGGGGTGTAGGTGTAATTTATTATCGGATATATTTATAGCAGAGGTCTAATTGTTACAAGTGTACAAACTTTAGGAGGTTTGTGTGTAATATTTTAAATGTCATGAGATTTGAGTGATTAATTAACAAATTTCAGAGGATCTAGGTATAATTCTTCCAAAAATCAATGATTCATGTGTGGACCCATCGTGCAAAGACGTGAACCCAAGCAACAAAAACCCCACCTGACCAAAAAATTGCATCGTAACTTACCTACAATGTTGATTGCAGCGACTCAGGACTTCAATCGGCCTTTATACATCCTATACCTCAATCAACGACTTCATGCATCACAAAGACCGGTGTGGGGATGGTTTGAGAGAGTGGTTAAATGACTAAGGACAGCTTTTATACCGGACAAAAAAATTTAACTATGGTTAATATTTTGGCGTTACCATGACTAAAGGGTTCTATAGGAAATTCCTCCTCTATTTGACGACTCTCTGCCTGTTTTTTTATTTTGATACAAGAATGGGGCAAATTACTGGAAATGAAACCACCGGGAGTTAATTGCTACATAGGGTATAGTTGGAGGGGATAAATTGAAATTAACCCTATTTTATCTCTAATTATTATAATAAAGTTAATTATACCCAACTATCTAATTTTTATTTTTTTTTACTCTTATTTGACTTTCAACTTGTTTTCAACTCTTTTATAAAAAAATTTAAATTTTTTTGAACTCATTTATTAATAGTACATTACATACAATGTTCTATATCTATATGAATAAATAAAGTCTTATACATGCTAAATTATTATATACATATAATTATCAAATTGAATTTCACGATCAAATATATATTATATTTTATTTTTTAATATGCAATAATATAATAATATGTAGCTATATTGTTTGTCTTGAACATTTTGCGACTCAAATCATTTTGATCTGATGATCCTAATTGGAGTTGCATTTCTTTTACAACTCTAAGACTTTTATTTCTCATTTAACTCTCTATATCTATCTATCTTATACTCTCTCTCTCATGCTATTATCTTCTTTTTTTCTGCGTTGTTTTTGGTATTATTTAATACATAAAACAAATGAAACCACATGTTATGAAATTATTTATTCCATTGAATTAATTTTGAGTTTTTATATATATGACGACATGTATTTTGTTACTTGTTTCTTAATTTGTAAATAACACTTAATAAAAATAAAAAATAGAATATTGACTATAAACACTAAATAATATTCAACACGAAATAAACCTTAGATTGTAAATTAATATATAATTTTATCAAAAAATTAACATTTAATTTTGTCCAATATAAATTCAACTTTGTCAAATTAATATTAAAATTTATTTAATTAATGTTTTGGAATACTATATTATATCAATTTTTGGGTACTAAATCAAATTTTATTTGATTTTATTAAATTTTTAAATTTTTTGGTACTAAAATTAGAAAAAGGCAATTGTGAAAATAATAAAATTTTTTGGAATAAAATTATCAATTTTCATAAGTAACATTGATGAAAGGAATACAGAGGGATCTTCCTACAATGAATTCAAACCTCAAGGGGTCTCCGTGTTATTTATAAAATATTAGTAGGTGTCTGTATAATATTGTCAAAACTCAAGGGATGTCCGTGATTTTTACCCCTTTTTTATTAAGCATTAATTTATTATTATTTTATCTTAAAAATTGGAATTATTTTATTTCTAATAAAAACATTTATTGGTTAGGAAGGTTTGCCAGTAACCAAAAAAAATGTGTGGGTGTGTTTTTATATATATTTATATGTGGAGGATTGAACATTTTGTGATTAAATTTAGGGTTAATTGCACTGAAAGTCCCCAAAGTATGAAGTTTGTCT